GGATGTCACATGTTCAAGGTAAAGGTTTTAAATTTGTTCTGATAAATAATTCTACATCTTACAGGCTTATATGTGTATTCACAAAACTGTTTGAAAAATTTAGAAAAGACTAAATTGTTATAAACAGTAATATTTACACATTATTTATTAGGCATACGTCAGACAATTTAATGTTGCTGATCAATAGAGTCAAACGCTTGGACAACAGGATGAACTGTGACATTTCAATTGACCCTTCTGACTCCTGTTACACTTCACCTGCTTTCAGTGCTCACAGTTTGTTTACACCTCCACTCCTTTCAGAAGCACTCAAAAATCTGCATTTTATATAATATGTCATTAACACTGCTTTCAATATTTAGTAGAAATTTTCTAAGTCAAATCAAGCGCTAGCACACGTTATGGCTTACAGTGGATAAAAATCTAACCTGGCTCTTCTGGAGTTTCTGCAAACTGGATAAAGAAAACAGTTTGACAGCCAGAGAGAGAGAGAGACAGATTTTGACACAGCAAGACAGAGTGATTTTGCACTGTGTCGCATCTGTAGCAGCCTCAGGCAGCAGCCAGGGGGCCACAGGGAGAGGCCTCATTAGCGATGTGATATGTTTGTCCATATTTTGCTGCCTATAAAGGGACGGAAAATGTGGCTGCTTTCCGCACCTCATTTGCTCCTCACTTCAACACTTTATTTTCTTTGCAAAATCCTTTCCTCTTGTCACCCCTCTCTAAAGTGGTTAAAAGAGATGCAACAGTATTAGGTTGCAAATGCAGTGTAATCATTTTTCAAACTCATCTTGCATTTTGTTAATTCTAAAAACACAAATGTAAAGTGTGTGCTGAGTTGCACAGGCTTAGCATTAGGCTTGGATACAAAATGTCATGTTCGGAGAACAGCACAGAGGACTTAGCTTGTCAAGTTTATTAACTGACAAATATTTGATGTTGTTGGGAGGTTAATTAGCTCCTGGTTGGTTGCCAGCTTTCATAAAATGTGCTGCACACCAATTCTGGCTGATAACATCTCACTGGTTTAAATGCTTAGACCTGAGAGTATATTTCATATTTTTTATGGTTATTTTCTCAACAAGAAATTTAACTAGAAAATGTAAAACTTCTGATGAAATTTTAGATGTGCAAGCTCTGAGCACCGCCACCAACTTCCATCTCGCTACCCGGCCATACACTACTGTCGCTGAGCTGTCGGTCAGACTTGGAGAACACAGCGATATACAAGGTTTGTCCACACATAATGTACTAAGACCCAATGACAGCATGTTGAGATATCATGTAGAGAATGATGTGAGATTTGGCTAAATCAGGAAATAAGAGAGAGTGAAAATGTGTGTGTGTGTGACAGACACAGAGCCTAGAGCAGAGCAAGTGACAGAGAAAATAACAAAGAGAGAGTGAAAGTGTGTGTGTGTGTGTGACAGACACAGAAAGACAAAATGGAGCATGTTTTTTTCCTCCATAAGTAAAACCATAGACACGTGATTCTTAGACCATATGAACCAGAAGGGCCTGCAGAACATTCTAGTATAGTACATGTGTGACAGAAACATTACCCTGCCAGAACAACATTAAGTAACATCAAAGAAAAAAATCTCCAGAGGGGCTGAACAAGTGACTTAAAACTAAACTGCATCAATAAACAATATCAAAATGATTTTTTGAACACTTGCAGGTCCAGGACTCTTGTATAATTGAGAGATGGAATGACTGATGAAAGTGGCACCATAGCAATGTGACTGATAATGAAAGGGGGACAGCATGAGCTCAAAACAGTCAATATCATAACATCTAATGTAATCGACTGTCATTCAAAAACTAATTATCAAATCAAAAAGCTAGTAGACACCAAAGTAGGACAAAGTGTATAGTGTCATTGTGCCTTTGAATGACCTTCCAATATGAAACACAGGCAAAATAGGTAGCTTTAAATTTCAGTAGGCATTGACGTTCACTGTAGCAGGGCCTCCTATTGCCATTGCATGAAATTCAACACACTCCTTCGGTGCAGAAGTTCCCCAGGTTTGGTTGAAATATAGTGATCCACTGATGGGTTATATCTTATCAAACCTTTAATGGCAACAGGAAGTGGGATTTTGATATATTTTGTCTAAATGTAGTGCCCCCCAGTATCGATTGAGCATGAAATTCTATGTGGAAACACAAACATGGGATTATCTGAAATATAATGAATTTGGTTGAAATTCATGTCTTCCCTGCAGAGTTATAATGTATCACAGAGAAACCGCACATATAGCGCCCTGAGGGGCGAAAGTAAACACAGTTTTACAGGCGTGCTCAGATTCTGGTCCTGGACCTAGGATCCAATTTTGGTTGCATTTGGACATTTTAGTGGAGAGCTATAGCATTTGACACCTTTTGACCCCACCCACTCATTTTCAGTGGCCAGTAGCAGGGGAATGGTAAGGAATATTACAGAATGAATGGTACCATTGTTTCCTGGGTGAAAAATGGATGAAGTATGAAAAATAGAGTGAAAAAATGTTTTAACAAAAACCCAAAATGGTGGAAAATCTAGTTGGCAGCACCACTGGCAAAAATTTTAAGACTGTTCCAAGGATTCCAGAGAAAAAACTTTTTTTCTAGGCCTCACAGCTCATGAGTTACTAATGAAAATATAAAAAGATCACATAAACACCTATAACTGACCACCAGGTGGCGCAATAAAGGTAATGTTTTTCTAGTGAGTGTGTTGTCACCAGAAAGCCATGTACAAAGTTTGATGTTATTATCTTTAATAGTTTAAGATATCCAAAACCACCTTCTTTCCTATGAAAAAAAAAATCACTCGTTTTTTGCAATTTCTGCTAAAATTGTACATCAGATCTTCACCAAAAGTCATACTACACTATTTCCTATGGGAAAACATACTGTACTGAAACTGAAACTGTACTTGAATTTGGTGCACATACTCAAAACTGTGGGAGGAGTAGCACGGTGAAATATTGGCGGAAGAAAAATAAAACAGAATAATAATAAGAAGTCACAGGTTTGCAAGAGGTGTGCTATACTCCTTCAGAACTTGCACACCTAAAAATACATGAAAGAAAATAAGTGCAATATTCATTTGCAGAGTGACATTAGCAAGTTTTAGGGTTTCCTGAAATCCACAGTTTCCAAGTAATTAACTGGCAACATAACTCATTTGAGCATGGTCAGTGAACTTGGTGTACTTCTCCTACATATAGACACGGATGAAAACAAACATACACATACATATTTGTTTTCATTTTGTGTGGGGACTTGTTTCTCATTTTATTTCTTATAGAGACGTACCTTAACTTTAACCATAACCACTACTTACCTGGCCCTAACACTTTTCCTAACCTTAAACCAAGTTGTCATTCAATGATTTACTGTACATGGCAGGGACCTGCATCTGGTCCCCATGAAGAAGGCTAAATCTCCACAATGTGAGTGTGTAAACAGGTTCCGATGTGAGTCTGTGTAATACCAGGCACACACACACACACATTTCTCACAGAGATCAGAGGGAGCACAGCTTGTCTGAACTTCAAAACTTATAAGAATTTCAGCAGAATTCTGAATCTGGACACAAACGCATGAGAACCTCAAATGTATGTATATATAAAAAAACTTCAAAAGGCACCTTCTCGCAGATACACGAAATACCAGCAGTGTCGAGTGTGATGGTAGTGAAATAACATTTTAAACATTTTCATTAATTTTTTTTCTTATAGTATACTGTATGAACACTGTTTATTTTGCTATATACAATGTCTAATCCAGTTCTATTTGAGAAAGTCAATAAAGAATTCATCACAAAACAAATAGACATAAGTGTAATTTATACTCTTGAAATGATTTACTTCCTGGCGGCTGGTTCTTTGCACATAGTGTTATCACCAGACAACAGAGACTTGTGATGAGGACAAGAGATTTTTTTCCCAAGTGACTACAGCAAACATACGTGCACAATCTCAGCTTAACATGGTAACAGTCTGTTAGGGTGGCCAGCAGGTTGCAGTTACAAGTAGAGCAATTTATGTCACTAATAATGTGTCCATGTATGTGAGAACTGGGTATCTAAAGAGAAACCATGGCAACATGCTGTGAATAGCTGACCTGTGAATGTGGTGAGCGCTGGTTGATCACTTCTGTAAAATGAGACTGCAGAGACAGAAGGTTTAATAACAAAAGAGAAGAGAGGAAATGAGCGAGGAAGAGAGATGACTGAGAAAGGTAGAGAAAGGGTAAAAGGGAGAGGAAGCAGTGAGGGAAGAGAATGGGAAGAGGAAATGAGAGGACCGATAAAGGACGGAGGAAAGAAGAAAAGAGATAGGAGAAGAGAGCAAGAAATGAGAGGTAAGGAAGAGAAGAAAAGGGGGAGAGTAAGGAGAGAAACTGTGTGAGGAAAAGAGAATTGAGAAAAGAAGGGAGGAATGAGGAAGAGGGCAAGACAAGGTAACATGAAATGAGGGGAAAGGAAAGAAAAGCAGAGAAGAAGAGGACGCCAGAGAAGTGGAAACAGGAAAAGAGGAGGAGAAGCAAAAAGAAGAGGGCAAGGGAGCAAGAGAGGAAGACAAAAAGAAAGACTAAAGAACAGAAAGAAGGAAGAAGAGACACAGGAAGAAAGGAATGAGAAAAAGGAAAATAGGGATGAAAATGAGAGAACAGAGGTGGTGGGGGGAAGAAGGATTGTAGAGAAAAATTAGCGGTCCATTGCCAAGGTCCTCCCAAGACCCTCCATCCCTGTAGCGCCCAATATAAACGCAGGGTTTTAGAAATGGAATGTGACAGTGTGTGTGAGAGAGAAGAAGAAACAGAGAGAGAGAAACTAAATGTGACTTCTCGGTCCTCAGGTTAACCTAATGACCATTACTTTGATGTCATTCTGAAAACTTAATAAAACCAAAATGATGTTCAAGCTGAGCTTTAAGTGAGAGGGACAGCTGAACAAGCAGGTCACACAGGTGAGAGTTCACGTGGGGTCATTAAGTTTTTCTTACCTGTCTCGCAGTGGCGTCCTGTAAATCCTGAAGGACAGACACACGTGTTGGGGGATACACAGGTCCCTCCGCTCCGGCATCCCTCCTCACAGAAGGCTGGAAGGAGAAATATATTAGTCTTCCATATCATCTCCTCTCACAGCAGCAGCAGTAGTAGTAGTAGTACACAAAAAGACTTTGAATTCCTGCAGTTTAAGGTTTTGTGAAGGCATAACAAGGTGTGAATTGGTTCCGCTGACTATTTTAAAAAGCAGCGGCACAGCTGTGTGAGGGAACATTGCTTTTGTCATGCACATGAGCTCATAAATGGTGTTTATGTGTTTGTGTATTGTGTGGACCAATTATTTTTTGATGCCATGGTTGTGAAGACCTTTGACATTGTGAGGACATTTTAGCTGGTTCTCACAACTTCAAAGAGCTGTTTGAGAGTTAAACTTGGTTTTAGGGATCAGGGTAGAATTTGTTTTACAGTAAGTGTTTGGGTTTGGCATTTGGTTGTGATGGTTAAGGTCAGGCTAGGGAATGCATCATGTGCTCACAAATATAGTCAGACTGTGTGTGTCTGTGTGTGGACTGCCATGAATCAACCTGACAAAGTATTATCACAAGATGTGAAATGGCAACACTGTGCATCTGAAAGACGCAGTTTTATTACTGATATCACAACTCACAACTGTAACCTGTCCTCCTTTAATATATTTTGGTTTATTGAAAGTGTCTGGTGTGAAATTTGTCTTTCAAGTGGTTATCATCTGGAGGACAGATACTTCATTTGGCTGTTAACGTATTCAAGTTACAGTCAAAATGTGCAGGGGTCTGAGTACTTTCCAATGAAGCAACTGTAAGTGATCATGATAAAAGTGCTCCCTTTTTAAAAGCTGCTGTAATAACATTTTTTTAAATAACAATGGATCAAAAGGGTGTAATGTGAAAGGTGTAACTCATAAAAGCAGAGAATTCTCACTACTCCTCAGCTCTTTTCCCTCTTCACTGCACATTTACTGTACGGTTCAGACATATGGTATCAGCTGTTTTTAGCAAACTAGTTCTGATAAATCCACTGTGCAGCACCAACTGGCAGGTAGTTAGCAACTAGCCAGTGTTGAAAGTGGTTTATTCAGCAGCTAAAGAATATGTGGATACAAAATCTGAACTACAATAAACGATGATATTACACTAATCACATAGACAGGAAAACTACTCCAGCTGAATAATAATGCTGCTTTCTGGCTGCCAAATGTATGGCAGCAATATACAGTAGCTGATTACATCGTATGTCAGTCTTTTTCAGAGCTTTTGCAGTGTTACCTTACATACAATTATGATCATCCAATTCCTTAGGCCTCTAGTAGAAGCTCCTGGGTGACACACTGCGCTCTTTCTTTGAACATTTTCATGTAACCAAAGACAAACCAGCTGATCGTTGTTCTGACTGTCAATATATAAAGTCAAAACAATGACCACGAAAGTAAATACTTGGATAATATCTTGGATCCAGCTTTTCTAATTAACAACTCAGGTGCGAGTTGAAGAACTGGCAAGGTAGCTTTAGCTGGCATTAGAAAATCCAGCATTGTTCATTTGATCCAGGATCTTTAGCAGTGTACGATGAACAACCATGAGGTGTTTAAAAGATGAGACTCGAGGCTTTTTTTGTGTACTGGAAGCATTGTTTAAAATGAACACTTGTAAAGCTTCAGTCTCCTTGCACTTCTACTGCAAAACGGAACAGAGCGTTAGTTCTATTTTTATTGTATTTATTCTAAAAGCTTGGTTGTACTGGTTGACAGCACAAGCACTTAATTTTATTGTGGATATTTAGGTTTGGCTCTAAGGTAAGTGGACATATTTTACATAGCACATTTATCCCATGAATGGCACAAGCACTTTAGAAGCCACACATTCACACACTTACTGTGGCGAAGCTGCCATGCAAGAAGCTGACCTGCACATCAGCAGAAGATTTGAGGTTCATTGTCAAGGATAACCTGCTCTACCACCTGAGTCACGGTGCTATACTTCAAACAAGCACAGATTTGCTGCTTCACATTTTATCTTACAGTAGACATTTTAGTGCCTAGAGTTGCTGGTAAGAGGGCCATAACATCAACTAGATCAAATGTACTTTAGTTAGATGATGGATATTGTTATTGATCACCTACAAAGCTGCCGGCATCATACACAAGGAGACATTTCATCAGTTTATTCAGATACTTGAAAACTGTATCGCATGTGTGGGAGCATGTTTGTTTCTACAGTAAAACTGTCTCAGTGCCTTTTGCTAGAAGCAGGCTAGCAGTGCCAATGTCTAATTTATGATGCATCAACCATGGCTGAGACAAACACACAAAGGCAGGCTGAGGAGAGAAGGGAGAGAAATGCAGTCAATGAAAGTAAGGAAAAAGAAAATATGAGTGTATAGTTATTAGTACAGTAGTTAGCTTAAAACAAGGAGGATTACACCAAAAAGAGGGCAGACTGAACTGAGCAAGTTCATTAAAGAGAAATTACTTGAGCATTTCTAAGCTTAATTAATTACATGGCTTGGAAGATGAGCCTTAAAAGGCCGAAAAATCTCTTCTTAGACACTTTCATAGAGTCTGAGAGTATAATATGTGTCTGTAAAGCACAGTATGTGCAGCAGCCTGTGCTTCAAAGAAGCAGTTTATCTGAATAAGTTATCACCCGGGTGTTTGGAAAAAGTGCTAAATGTATAAAATAAAGCACAAGTGCAATAAATACAAGCAGGGGCTCATACCAAAAGTTATTAAAACTATTAATTATGACTGGTTCCACTATTTAAGAAAACCCTCATTAAGAGCTTGATTGCTTCTGTACTAATAAAGCTCACACTTAAAAATTAATTACACTTATATTGACTGAATCCATCTTCAGCTTGAATTATCATTTCACCACCATCAGCATAATGCTGCCTGTCTGTCACACTAATGACTTCCAAAAATGAAGGGGCTTCACTTGGAGTGGGTTTGGGGTGTATTTTTTAAACACCTGCAATTTTCAACCAGAGCTGCTGGCAACCATTTAGTTGTCCAAGGAGAGTCCCCAGTTTCCACCTGTACAACATAAATATACTGTAGACCACTGGCGTCCTACAACTCTACACTACTACAACATCAGGTTTATCGTAAAACACTTCAGCTCTTCTCTTCATCTTCCTCTCCTTCTGTGTCCCTTCTATCAACTTTTACTCAACATTTTTTCCATCTCTCCTCTCTGGCTCCTCCCTCCACTCCCCATCCACATTACATTACAAGGACCCCCGCCACAGTGACAAATAGCCTGTGTTGAGGCTGCGAGGAGGAGATTGCCCTCCTTTATTATGGTCCCTGTGACCTCCAGCTATCTCACTGCTTAACTGAGGCGGGTGCTGACTCGTGACTTCTCGAGACATGCTTATACCCACAGATTTGCTATTTGAGTTTCCCATTACAGACCCAGATTGCTTTCCAGTGGGTGGTGAGAAGGGAATCATTCCTCACTGTGCCGTGGCTAACAACCACATTCACTGTGGTCGCTCATCCAAGGATCCATCTCAGAATTAAGAGCACTGTTATCACAGTGAAAGATAATGGATATTCCACAAATTCAAATAGGTATGAAAAGAGGAGCATGAGTTTAGAAAATCTATGGTAGAGCAGAACTGGGCCAATAATTAACATCCCATGAAGTAAACACAGCTAAGTAATGTGAATTGCTAGCCTCCTGATAATGATCTCATTTCCAAATGAAAGTTCAAATCTCTGTATTTATCTCTGTCCTAACACTAAATGAAATGAATGCATTATATAAAAGGGGTCACTCATACCTGAATTTTGGCCTCTCCTGTCAAGTATTAGCACTAGCATCCCCACTGTGAAAGATACTGTAAATACTTGGCCTAGGCTGTTTAACACTGCTCATGGCTATTCTGAAGATATTCCTAGAATCCTCATAAATCTCTTCTAACCACTCATCCACTGCAAAATAAAAAAAATTCAAAACATGTTTAATTTGTTTCCCAAGTTGTGACTTTGTTTCCTATCCAGGAAGCAATTGGCTACAATATTTGTTTGGATCAGGAAATTGAGTTGGGTACTATTTATCAGAGAAACTGAAGCTTAAGTAAAACTAATAAAAATAGTATATGTACAAATTAGGGATGTCACTCATGATGACTAGCCTACAGAAAATGATTATGCAAATTATAGATTTTTAGTCAGTGTTTTAATTAAATGGCACATTTAATGAATGAGCCAGTCTCATAGGAATTCAAGCTAACAGCTTTTTTTTTTTTTAAATGTCTCACTTGTCCATCTCAGAGAACAGACACACTTATGTTTTTCAAATCTATCAGTCTACTCAGAATCCTGGAGACTCACATTGGTTGGGAGGCGGGGTACACCCTGGACAGGTCACCAGTCTATCACAGGGCTGACACATAGACAAACAATCACACACACACAATCACTCTTAGAGGCAATTTTAAAGTCTCCAATCAACCCAGGAGGCATGTCTTTAGACTGTGGGAGGAAGCTGACGTACCCAGATAGAACCCACACAGGCATAGGGAGATCATGCAAACTGCACAGAAAGGCCCTGGGTTGGCCCGGGCCTGAAGGCGGAACCTTCCTGCTGTGAGGCGACAATGTTAACCACTGCACTGTTGCGCTGCCTGAAAGTGGAACATTTAACAACAACCAGATATTTCCCTCAGGAGCTGGTTTCCAAAGTAGAGCTAAAAGAAGAGCAAAAACCCAACTTACATTCATTAAGTAGTCAGAGGCACAGTTCTGAATGAATGATAGTGTTACTCTGTGTGTGTTGGATATGTAAATGGGCAACTGCTTGCTAGAAAGCTAACCATAACAATGCTTACCATATTACTATGTAAGGGTTGTGCTTCTGTCAGCTGTTTGGCGGGTTTCCTAAATCTAAGCATGTCTTCCAACAGATGCTGCTATCAGGAGGAGGGAGACGATATACGCTAAAACACATTACAGAGAGCTCCTAAAGACACTATCAGTACTTCTGACAAAGGAACAGAGGGGTATCTAGATAATGGGCTCCAAACTCCTCCTCCATCTCTCTTCCCTGCA